CAGATGAACTGGTCAGAGGGTATTTTATTTTACTTCATAATTTACACATATGTGAAGTGCATGATTTGTATAAACCATTTGTATAAATAACAAAAGTGTCTTTGGAGGCTGAGATAGGAAGAATGAAGAAAGCCAATGAGATAACTGGAAGCATATTCTATAAAAGAGAAGAGAAAACTGATCATGGAAGGAAGAGAAGCCAGGGGAGAGACTCAATAAATGGAATATACTTCAGCCCATCTGAATGCCAAGCATTTCCTCACGATCATCCCCTCTAACACAGGGCCTGTGCCCTATTGTGGGCTACCAAGGGGACCTGAAACAATACTGAGGAAGTAGAGGGAGAAATAATATTCACAAAACCCTCAAGACTATTTTTTCTCAATTTCCAGAAGTAAATTCCTACAAAAGTAACTTGTGATCAAAACAGAAAGAAAACATAAGTGGTTTTAAATTCTGATGGTAAAAGGATTTCTGACTAATGGTAAGGAAACAAAGAAGTCCTATTGAGGTTAAAAATCTATCTGTGTCCCTATCTGCATCATACAGGAAGGGAAATGATGCTAATGGATTCCATCAGCCCTGGGACTAGCAGCACTAAAGCAAGATCTTATGTGTTTAATTCTAGCTTCTCCATCTTTTTATTCTCTTACACTAAACTTCTGAATTTTAATAATGTATAAGACTGAGATTTTTTTCCAGGTATGGTGGTACATGCCTCTGATCCCAGCACTGTAGGAGGCTGAAGAACGGGGATTGCAAATTTGGGCCCAGCCTGGACAATTTAGCAATTTAGCAAGACCCTGAGCTTTTTATTTCTCAAAGTGCTTTGCTTAAACTCCCAAAGCAAAAGTAGGGAACGTTCATGCAAGTTAAATAGGTGTCAATTTAAGGACAAAGTGATTGAATTACAATCCCTGGCCATGGATGTGAATTTTGGTCTTTTTTTTTCCTTCACACACATGATATTTCCCTGACATCTGTGCAATACAAATATATCTAGAAAGTGTGAAATGAAAAATCTGCTCCACTAAATATATAAAAGGGACCCCAAGTGAAGTCTTCATGATAGCATTCGTCATCGTGGGCACAGATGGCGTCCTTTCCCAGCTCCCACTCCAGCCTCCCCAATACCAGCTTAAGTTTCAGCCACTGAATTCTCCCAAAAATATCACATGCAATAGAAGCCTGATAACAGCAGGAGAGCACATCCGCAAGCCACATTCTTATCTTTTAGTCCTCTGAGTACATCAAGCTAGGGGCCAATAAATCAGGGAAAGTATGGTTTCTAAACAAGTAATGTGAACTCCGCACAGCACCTGTTGCTACAGAAACCCAGATGACATAACAGTATAGTGGTCATTATGCTATTTTGCCAATAAGTAGTGGCATTACTGTCCTGTACTCATCATTATTCCTACAGTGCCCATGTTACAGAACACATCAGGCTCTTACCAACGCTCCTACATCCACACATTGAGGCACAGGATACACATCATCTTTAACATGTTATTTTGCTCCCTAACTTACTTAAAGAAGCCTTAAGTGCATGGTATTTAGGTTTCAAATGATGGCCAGAAAGCTGGGAGAAATGATATATACAAAGTCACCAGAAAACTAGCTCCGTCTATCTCATGGTATCTTAACTTGGAACACCAATACTAACAAATAGGCCCTAGAAAGCAGGAATGATGGAGACAAAAGGTTTGTAAGACTCTGACTCCCGCCCCGGGGAGGGCTGGGTGAGGGTGCACGGTAATGTCATTCTAGGGTGTATCTTAGGAATGTGGGGGATGTTACAGGAAGTTGTGTGGAGGTACAGAACTGGGGGGCGGGAGTAAAATAAACCAAAGAGGAATTGAAAAGTCTGTCAGTTGGCTCAAGCTCAAATACACATTTGACCACAGGAGTTACACTATTCAGCTGGGAGACACACTCAAGGGTGAGAAGAAGAGTGTTTTATTGCGGTACTTAGGTCTTTGACTGTTGAATCCTAAACTGTATACTTTTCTACTGCTAAACATTAACAGTCTTCTTTTCTTCTTCCTCCCTCCCATCTTCCCTCCCCTTCTTTTTTCCTCTCTCCCTCCCTCCATCCCTTCCTTCCTTCCTTCCTTTCATCTTTTTCCTAGTCCTAGGGATTAAACCTAGGCCTCATGCATGGTATTCAAGGACTCTACTACTGAGCTACAGCCTCACCGTTTTTATTTTGAGACAAAGCCTCACTACATTGCCCCAGGATGGCCTCAAATTTGTGATCTTTTCGCCCCTGTGTTCCAAGTTGCTGGAATTGTAAGTGTAATGCCACATACAGCTCCTCTTTCCTTTAATGTAGCAAACTCAATTTTAAAATAAGAATGAATTGCTATAAGATATCTGTAAGAAATAGCATTCACAAAGGCTTAAATGGTAATGAGAAAGCCCACAGATGGACACTCAGAGCCTTAAGTATTTCCACATATGTTACACAGTGTATATATACACATATATATATTAAAGAAAAATTATCATGTGTTTTTCATGCTCCAGTTGAGTCACTGAAATAAAGTAGCAAAAACAGTAACAAAGTCAAGGAGTTAAAACGGTCTGCTTCCATTCCTACTTTTAAAGAAGAAGAAATGAGACTTCAGAGAGAAGTGATTGGAAGAAAGTCACACAGAATAGTTCACACTGTAATCTCTGAGAGTCCATGCACAGCAAAAGTGCCCGGGGCTGCAGTACAGAAAGGACCCGTGAATACGGGACTTTATGAAATTCCTAGTTTCCTAATGGCAACCACTCTTGTTTTTAGTGACAAAGGAAGCAGGCAAATGGGGGAGAAGCAAAGGTTTCAAGGTCTTTAAATCACACCTGTTTGTTAGTACAGAAATTGCCTGTCTGGGGACGTAGTCATGCTGGGCTGGCTCAGGAATGATAGGCGTCTCTGATCTAATTGCTGGGTCATTTCAGAAGCACAATGTAGGGTGGCTACATGTGTCAGTCAGTGAGTGGCCTCCCCTAGACACAGCCATTGTCCTAGCAAACTCTGTGTGGTGGAATCAAGACTTGGGGGGAAGGTAGGCAGAAAAGCCCATCCCTTTAGACCTGAGGACAGAATGCTTGGGCCAGACAAAGTTCCTTTCAAGGCAAAACAGAGCAGAGCCGTGATCAGTTCAATTTTGTCCAAATGGAGACTCCAGATCATTGAACTGAAAATAAATAACCCAAATCTACAAACATTTGCACTGGACACTCTCCGTATTTGTTTGTTTTTCTGAAGGGGGTGCAGCCTTTCTCTGTGACAGTCTGGAAGGCCTAGATTTGAGTCTGGCTCACCATTTCCCTTAAGCATCTTACATAACCCCTCTGATTCCCACAACTGACTCCCGAAGCTGAGGTTCCCACCTACCTCCTACCTATACAATCGCAGTGCATCTTTATGACCTGAAATCCACCCACTGAACAGTTCTTCAAACCTACCACATACCAGGCAAAGTGCTAGCTGCTGGAGAGAAGAGCAATGGCTTTATCAATGTCCTTGTCCTGAGGAAACTCTGATGTCTAAACAAGGAGACTCTGGCACATTTACAACTGCAGCGTTATCAGGGCCACCTTAACTGTATGAATGAAAGGCTATGGGAAAACAGGCAAGGAAATAGTTAATTATGTCTGGCAGAACTATTATTCTGAGCTGTGATTTGGATTGTAATTCTACAAAACAAATGCGTACATAACTATGAAAAATGGTGTGGTTAAGCATGAATCAATGACTAAACACCTCAACGGTCCCAAAATCGTAATAATTACTGGAAGCACACGAAAACACTTCGCTTGTCTGTTCAAGCCAGCATTGCCTGGCTCATTTTTATAACACACGACAGTGCTTACAAGTTTTGTGAGAAATACCAAATTATATCAGGAGAAGTCTGATACTATCGCTAATTACTGCATAGGATGAAGCAGCTATCCAGAGTCTTTCATGACAAACAAACAAATAAACAAAAATCAATCACTGAAAAATAAGGAAATTCTTAATTATCCAGGACAAAATTAGAATGAGTAACTATATCCACAAATGAGAAAAACCTGTAAGCCAATTAAACTAAAAATTTTCTCCCCCACCCGCCAAAGTCTTTTTCTGTAGTGGACAAAGAAAGGACCTGTTTGAGTTATTGGCTACTTTCATTTATAGGGAAAAACACATAATGAACGTATAAATTTTTTGATATTTAAAAATAAACCAAGAATTCTATAATAAATCCTTTGCTTATATGTTTGGGCTATGATTATGTACCTTTTCTAAGCTGCACAACTTTTCTTACCCCTCTGTTAGTTATCCCAGACTGCTGAAGCTGGAAGGAACCACAGAATCAGCTGGTCCAACGTACTTTACAGAGAAGGAGTGAAACAGAGGTGGTCTGCTCATAATCACATCTTCCCTTTAATATTTACTTGATTATACTCATGACTGACCCACAAAAGGTAAAGTTTAAAGCGTTCTTTTAATATGTCTATCTTTGAAAGCACAAGCAGAATCATAAACAGAATCAAATGATACTCTAACCTAACCATCCCACCACACTAATGCACGGATAGGCTGGTGCAGCTCAGGATGTGGCCTTCCTACAAGTCAATAATGGCATAACCCCAAAGAATTTAGGCAATTGGGTTTGAAGAAAAACCACCCCAGACAAAAAGAGAACTGTCATTCCACAAAGCAGCCGACTGCATTAGACTGGCATCCTAGTGCAGAATCAGCCAGAACATAGTTTATTAATGAAATAATCTAAAGTCCGATTTGCCTCTCGGTCTAGGAATTAAAATAGCGTCTCATTTTTTCAAGGCTACATTCCAGAGGAGGTAGCAAAGGGGGAGGGGGTGTCAACAGGGAATTCTACCACAATCTACTTCTCTCCCAAACAGGCACACACGTTCATACTAGGATAGACATGTAGACGCTAATCCCTTCTTAGTGGAAAACACACATTTTCAAAATGAACCCCCAATCTAAAATGAATTACCGTAATAGCCACAGCCGGAGCGAGTCCGCTGATGAGGGACGCAGATCGGGCCACCTGCTTTGAGACGCTTTGGACCTCAACACCGCTGGGGTGTTTACAGGCTGGCCTTTTCGGGCAGGGCATCTACCCTTCTAAAATCGCGTTTAAATCCCAGGAAAAGAGAGAAAACGCCTCCTCCCTTAATCCTTGAACTGCGCTGCTCTTCCTGTATCCATTTCTGCCAAGCATAGCATTGTTATCTTTTCAAAGAGAGAGGAGGAAAACAAAAACAAAAACAAAACAAACCAAAAAAGCACAAGGGGAAATCGTACCACTGCAGATCCCAAGAGGAGTAAACAACAAAACTACAGCAACGTCAAATCGTATCTCGGGCAACTAGGAAAATCCCCAAGCTGTATGGGTGTCAGCCCAATGCAGACGGAGGCGCGCTGTGCCCGGAGCCACGGGCGTCTCTGCAGCTTGTGTCCCTGCCAGCTGCCCCTCCCCACCCCCACGCGCTGAAATTCGGCAGGGAAGAAGTTATGGTGCCCAGCCTGTGTGCAAGGCAGACCACGCATCCGCGCTCCCAGAATCAGCCAAGTGGCCCGGACGTCAAAGCAGCCGAGCAATCAGAGAGCTCTAGGGGATGCGGGGTATGGAGGGGCCACTTTGTTGGAGCGCTTGGATTTTGCTGCATTGTGACGGTCCGCGAATGCTTGGGTAGGAGGAAGCGCACCTCCAGCCAAAAATGGACCGGACGCGCGTGTCCCAGCTCCTCCCTCCTCCCTCCCGCCCGCCGGGGTGCAGGTCGCAATACGGTAGGAGACATGACGGGCTGCTTCCTCTCCAACTCAGGTGCCAGGCCCAGCGGAGGGCACAGCCGGCGGGGACCCGCGCCTCCTCGCCGCTGACACCACCCAGAGGAGCGGGGGCCGGACCTGGCCGCGCACCCGAAGGAGCGCCGGGGAGCTCGTGAGGGGACTGTGGGCGCTGGCGGGGGGACCCCGGACAGCGTCGCCTGGGACACAATCTTCCAAGGCGAGCCCGAGGCGGAGCGCCGTTACCAGCTCGGGTCCCCAGGGTGGGTGTGGGCCGGGAAGGAGGATTACGTAGGTCTCTCCGCCCCCTCCCCGGGCACCTGCTCGCCGCCAGCCCGCTGGGGGGCTTCTTTGTTTCCCTCCGAGCCTCTCAGGAGGGCCGGGCGCACCCGCTCCACCCCAGGCGGGGTCCCCACCCGCGCACCCAGCCTGGCGGGCGGTGGCGTGCCCCAGGCTGACAATTGAACCTCGCGGGAGAACGAGAGGGTGGAGAGGAGGGTGGATCCCGGCCCGGGGAGGGAGGGCGCCGCTGGGGCTTTGCGATAGCCGGAGCTGCGCGAGGACTGGGGTCGAACAGGGGCGGCAGGAAGGGTCCCCCGCGGCGCTCTCACCTCGGCAGCTCCGGGCCGGGCGCAGAGCATCTCCGTCCGCGCGCAGTCACAGCTGGGGCGCGCACGTGCCCTGCACAGGCGCCGGGGTCCTGCCTCGGGGACCCGGGGGACTCCAGCCACCCGGTGCCTGGTGCGTGCGAGCGAGAGAGGTGGGCCGGGCGCACCGAGGCGCGCGAGGCTGCAGCTCCCCCAGCAGCGCCTGACGCGCGGCAGCGCGGCGCACTTCCTCGCTTTATCCTCGCGCCCGCATCTCCTCCCTCCCCGCTGCTCCGAGGTGGGTACCAGACTCCCGAGCCAACCACAGGCCGGGCTGGCTCCACTCGGCGCCGCCCCGCCCCGCAGCCTCCGCGCGCCCCCTCCCGCCCCCGCCCAGCCGTAAATATATATTGATTCTTGTTCCCGCCGGCTCCGTCCTTCCAACTCCAGCGCTCGTGCCGGGCCCATCCAGCATCAACCGCGGCTCATCAGTTCTTTTGTGTACGTGCAAAGGGCGTGTTGCGAAAAGGGTGCCGCACAGAGACCCTCAGCAGGTGCCCCGTGACAGGTGTGCTTGGCCTCAGCTTTACACACTTTCCCCACCCACCCTGTGCAGTTATGAGCACCCCCGGCTACGTTTTGGGACCCTGTCCTGTGTCTGCTCAGTGAACACGCCAAGCAAACACTGTTAGGACAAATGCAAATGCAAACCTAGCAAACTTAGCCAAACCTGACTTTCAAGGCAGGTTTGGAATTAAGCTGCGCACAGTGTCAGAATGCTAGAACCAGAGGGAAACAGGCTGACCCTCTCCTTGTCCAGTCAACCAAGATGCAAAGAGAGATGACATGCTGGCCGCTGTGGGTGCTGGCTACTCCATATGCTTAAATCTACGTGCATGTGGTCCACACTTGGCTTCTGTGTGCTCACTTAAGATGCTGAGGTTTTGAGCACATAATCTCCATTGTCTCTAAGTGCATTTTTCACAATGCTTATTTATTTCTCCCCATTCTCCTGCCTAACGCTCCCTGCAATAAGCCCTTTTTCACCTTCTGAGAGGTGAAAAGGGTGGGAGGGGCACCTTCTTGCCCATATCCCAAACCCAAAACTCTTCTAGGATAAACAAAAGGTGGACCCTGACTCCAGAGCTCCTTACTGAAGACCCCAGCGCAGACTTTCACCAACCACGTCCTCCAGCTCCCACCGAGATCAGGGGTGGCTTGCCGGTGGCTCCCCTTTTACTGACCCACCTCTGGGCATTGAGTTCACTCACAGTGGGAACTTTGCAGGAGTGGAACCTTGCACTTTGCAGAGGCAGCCTCCCTAGCTGTGCCCCTTTCTTCCCCGGGGGCACATCTCCCTGTCCTCAGTTCACTGGGGGTGCTCGGTCTTTTCTCAAGGGACCCTTCTCTGTTTTAGACAGCAGTCGGATCTTCTGGTCAGATGAGCTCAAAGCTGATTACTTTTCAAACCTCAGCTAAGGATCCACGCAGAATGCTGGACACACATTTCTCCAGATTTTACACTTGAATTAATATCAACTACTATATGAAGAAAAGCCTCCGAGAATAGATTTGGCCAGGCCACAGCGGTAAACACCAGTATCTACCATGTGATGTTTCCAACAAAAGACAAGAAAGAACAAAAGAAAGAAAGGAAGGAAGAAAGGAAGGAAGGAAGGAAGGAAGGAAGGAAGGAAGGAAGGAAGGAAGGAAGGAAGGTAGGCTTCTTGCATAAACCACTGTGCCTGGTTTTTAACTTAGTACATCACCACCAAACCACAACAAAGGATAATTCTTTACCTCAATTAATTGCAAGATGTTCACTGCATTATTTTCAGGGATGTGGCTTGAGCCTGGTTCGGACAGTTTCTCCCTGTTCTATCTATCATGGAGATAACATGACAGGTTAACATCTCTCTTAAGGGTTATTGATGTAACAATCCTGAGATGTGCTTCATTTTCCCCTGGAGAGGTCTTTCTCTCCCCTCTTCTCTCTCTCTTTCTCTGTCTCTCTGTCTCTCTGTCTCTCTGTCTCACCTTCCTACTGAAGGCAAAAAAGATATTAAAGTAAAAATACAGTTTCACATGTCAGTGCTTTCAGTGAATACATTTGTAAAGCGCCTTCTACCTTCCTGAGGCATTGGCACCAAATAGATTCCTATGTGTGGTCTTTTTATCCCTAATAGTCCCAGCATAGTCTGGGTATCATTGTCCTATTTTACAGGAAAAATTAATAAGTCTACATGGGTTTTGTAGTTTCCTTAAGGACTTGTGAGAAAACTTCCAGTCTAGAGGTAACTGATGTCAGCTGCTTTCACCTTAAAGACACAACTGTTGGGTGGACAAAGGGAGAGACAGCATGAATTTTAGAGCCATCCATGTAGTAGTCATACATATAAAGCTTCTGATATACTCATGAGATTCAGAACACTGTTATAAATTCAGTAATAATAAGTTGTGGTACAGATGCTCCACAAAATACTTTTTTGCAGTGTTGGGGTACAAACCCAGGGCTTCAGGAGTATTAGGCAAATGCCCCCTGCTAACCTATACCTCCAGCCCAGTACTAATCCCGAATGATACCATAAGGCAGTGAAGCCTAGGCAGACACCAGTGTTACCTGGAGGCTGATACAACTTGTCTTCACGTTTTGTACCTGGGTCCCACAGGACGGGAGCAGGGTAGATAAAGAAGAGGAAATACAGCCCCCCCCAAATACACACACACAAGTGGTTCCCATTGTGCGGGAAAAACTGTGGCTCAAACTGATCGGGGGCTTATTTAGGAGCAGACCTTGACTATACTGTTAGAAGTGAGCGCCTCACGGAGGATGGAACTGGTGAAGCTGCGCTTACTGTGGCATGTCGGACACAGTTTCTCTCCACAGAACTAAAGTGCAGTTGGTAAAATATGACCATCGTTTGGACACTGTAACTGGTAAGGCATGGGATAAGAACACAGAGTCAGGGTGTCCAATCTGGTCAGTTGAACAAGTTACCTAGAGAAACAAGCCCTTTCTATAAAGACAGAAAGAGGAGTTTTGATTTCTTGCTGTTCTTGTTTTGTAGTACTGGAACTGAACCCAAGGCCTTTGCGCTGAGCTACATCCTTAGCCATTTTGTTTGTTTGTTTCTCATAACCATCTCTTTTTTTTTTGAGACAGGGCCTCATCCAGTTGCTAAGTTGCCCAGGCTGGGCTCAAACTTGTGATCCTCCTGCCTCAGTCTCCCACTATGCTGGTTTTACAGGTGTGCACTCTCACATCTGGCTGAGGATTTTTAATTTTAAAGAGTGAGTAAACCTGCACATGGATACTGAGTAGCAGTGGCTTTATTAACAGCAATGAGACTCTCAGGGTGGCTTTGGGCCACGGCAGGTATGTGTGTGTATCAAGTACAGGCTGAAGTTAGATGAGAGAATCATAGGAGTTTCCTTACAGTATTTATTCATCCATTCAGCATTTTGCGGAATGTGCTAATCCTGGGGATATAACTTTGAAGAAGACCAAGTCTCTGATTTCCTAGAAGTAAGAGTTGAGGGTATTAAAACCTTTAATTAAATGAACAAGCGCTGTAGATTTCACGGATAAAGTATATGTAAAATGAGGAGCCTGATATCTATCACACAGTGCACAGGCCCAGGTGAGACCCTGGTGATGGAGGGAGGGTAGGACTCATAGGCAGTCCTCTTGGTGCCTAAGTTGTGGCTTAATGGGTCAGTAGGAGCTGGCAGGTGATGCAAGTGGAAGAGGAGTATCCGGATTAATGTGGTGAGGTCAGAAGACAGGCAGTGAAGTCTGTCAGTCAAGAAGATTTCCGGCTGATTGAAATGTAGACAGCTGCATAAATGTGTAGTGGTAGCTTAAAGTGTAGTAATTTGCACTTCCCAATGACTAATTATGGTGAGCATCTATTTTGTGCTTTTGCCACATCCCTGTACCATTTGTAGTAAAGTGTTCAAAAGTTTTGTCC